AAAAAGTAGGATTTTATGAGAAAAAGTAGGAAAAAGTAGGAAAATCAAGCAATTTTTAATAAAAAATAGGAAAAGTAGGAAAGTTGAAGAAAAGTAGGAAAAAGTAGGAAAAGTAGGATGGCAAGAAAGCCTGCAATTAAGGGTATAAACAGGCCATTACGTTTTTCTAACTTGTAGCTATAAATTAACTATACATTTTCTCCTGGGTTATTGAATTATTGACTTTCTTAGCAACAGGTATCAGCCAATAAGGCCTGGTTTAGACGGCGAACTTTTCATGCGCCGAAACTAATTGGCGCATCGGAAAAGTTTGCCGTCTAAACCGGGCCTAAAACTCGCAGATGGCTTGTTTCTTGGAGTGGGGCTCAGTCCCTTTGGGTGTCCCTGAAGGTACCAAGTTCCTCTGGAAATTTTCTGATGATAAGACAGCGTCCGAAGTGTTATTGAAAGGTAGAGTGTTATAGCAGAGCGAAAAAATTGTTGACCAAGTGTCGCAATGCTCTTGAGAAAAAAGAGTTAAACTAAACTCAGACAAATGCAAGGAGATCAGACTTTCATTCAGAAGTACGCATTTTGAGCCCATCGTTATCAACGACAAATAGCTGCATGAAAGTATATAGTTCAGCTCTAATCTTCAAGGGTAAGTGGGTATAGGTTAATATTTAGCAACAATCGTACCTGCATGGTGTGGCCATATTACAAAAGCAATTAAGAGAGCATGCCTATTTATAACTTTAGCGGGCGTTGTGGCGTATTTTGCGTTAAAAAGGAACAAACTGAGATGGAAAAAATGAGTCTGGGACGGGCCCAAAACATATGCATGCCCGCGAATATCAACTCTATTGTTGTATTAATTGAGGGGAGCCAATGTGCCTACTTTGTACAATCTATAGCGCTTTTTTACATCGTGTATGAGTGGATTAATTTTGTAAATGATTACGCCGCCCTCAGTTTTCCACAATTCGTTGCGAATAGAGAGAAAGTTACTAAACATAAGATGGCTTAATAAATTATTTGCAGTTACAGACAACTGAATTAACGAGTTATTTACATAATATTATGATAGATCTATTAAAGTTTGTAAAAATACAGTTTCTAAAAATATGTAAAAGTAAAAAATTTTTCTGTTCTTTTAGTTTTACAAAACTTCTTGCATGTGTATATGTATAAAAAACGTCTCGCATTTTGTGTCTTATATATAGAGAGTAATGTTTATAGTCAGGATCTTTGGATTGGGTGAGTAATAAAAAATGTAGTGGGCATGTGAGGAACATTTATCATTTATAGACCTGGAGCGAGGGGGATTCGGCGAAATATTACCCGAAGTGATGATATTCCCCGAGGGAAATATCATCACTGAGTTGAGAATTCCCAAGTTGAGAATTAAAAACTTGATGTTATATTTTCGGATTAACGCAAGTATTCGTAGCTTTTCTTTCGAATCACATATCGTTTGGAATATCAATGACAACATTTTTCAAAATTTGCTTCAGAATTTTGAAAAAGCTCCAGGTTTTACGTTTAAAATTTGATGATTCGTCACTCATCAATATACAAATAATGAATGTTTATGAGTGCAATGGTAAGAATATTTTCATGAGATGAAAGATGGAATGTTCCATTTAACGAGGCGACAGCCGAGTTGAATGGAACATTCCATCTTTCACCGAATGAAAATATTCTTACCATTGCACGAAGAAACATTCATTATTTGTTTTATATAATACCAAAATAGACTAATAGATTCGTATGAAAAGCATTTTGACGGATGCGATTTATCGAAAACACAAAGAGTGCAATTGTACTATACGTTTTATTCCATTGCACTCGCGGAGAGTGCAATGGAACGTGTTCCATTGCACTCTTGGGAAATGGAATTTTCTATTCAATATCACGTGAACATAAACAGCCAATTAAACGATTAGAATTTAATAAGGTATTATATAATACTGTTTATATTTTGTCGGCAATGTTGTTGTCATGCGTGTTGTCTCGCGTGGTCTACGCAAATAATGTTCCACCCCATGTTCCCCGGAACACAGGCTCGCTGATTGATGACATGAGGCATGATATCGCGATTAATTTCATGCTCACGTGGCACAAACTAAGCTTCTTGATTGGACAATTTGAATTTGAGGTATAATATTTCTTTTTACTCATATATGTTTGGCATATACAGTATAGAACTAGAGTGTATATTTGTTAAATAGTGTATCTAGTTTAGCTAGTTCAAGAGCGTCGTGGTATGAATCAGCTTCCGGAAAAATTATACTCCGTGCAGCTCTTTTTCTGAATGGATTCTATCTTCTGAGATACATGATCCGGAATTGATTCACGAATTTGCTATAATATAGCGTTGTTTAGGTTCATTAATGTTTATTTTTGTTCGTTTTTCTGAATATGCCGTTCAGTATCATTAAGGTCAAAATGGACAAAACATGTCCATCCCGGTCTGGTGGGATTGATCACACCGATGGAGACGGGCATCTTGTTTTAAATTTTTAAATGCCTTCTAGATGGAATAAAGCACGCGCCGGTTTTCCGGTCTGGCTCGCTAAATGCGTTCATAAAACTAAAATTATAAATACTTTTGGGACGATGCCTCCACACCCCTTTTTCTACTATATGCCAACAACGTTGTTGGCGAAAGAGTGCATGCCCCCCCCCCCCTCCACCCAATCAGGGTGTTAGCCAGAAGTAAAAAAAATCCGCGTTTACCTGAAATTGGGAAATTATTTTAGCCTGAAGCCGGCCATTTCTTTGTGGGTCTGGGGGCATGCGGTTGCCCCCTCTCAATTTTTAAAATTTTTGTGCTTTGAAATGGCATTTCCCACATTTTGGGAGTAATTTTGAGCAAATGTAGTTATAAACATGTTTTTAATGGAGTATTAACAACATTGAATTTCTATAACTATTTTTTGGCTGACCCAAATTGGGAAATTGCGACCTCAAGGTAATTGGGAAAACCGCGTTTAACGTGGAATTTTTGACTGTAGCTAACACCCTGCCAATACCTGTACCCACGCCACAAAGAAGAAGGGTCTGGATTTAGTGAGAACCGAACAAAGTGAACAATTATTATTACTTGAACTTTGCGTAGTCTTCTTCAACTGGCTGTTGTTCAGCAAGAACTCTGACAGCAGCTAACATCAACGTTCCATAATTGCTAAAACATACGAAAATAGAAGGTAAGGAAAAAACACTACAGAAACGCAAATCTGATAAAAAAAGGTGGGTTAACGATAAAAATTAACTGTCGATAAATTCAAAAATCATGCTACAAAACCTGCTTCAGTATGTGCCTGCTATTTTGTATGTCCTAAAACTAGAAAGTTCAGTTGCTCTATACATTAATCGAATAATTTATGCGAATAATTACACGAATCGATATAGCGTAAAAATCGAACACATAATGCTTTGCAAAAAGTACAGAAGTAACACAGAAATAGCAATTTCTTTCTTCACGTCGTTCGTTTTGAGTTTAGTGACAGTAGTGTGGAGTTAATTTACGGGCGACTTGCACTAAGGCACCTTAATACTCCTAAAATAGTATAGGTATAGGTTTATAACTGCAGGAGGATACTGAAGCCAAACAATATCATTTCAATTTTACCTGAAAATATCCTCCATTCCAGTAGCTGTCAACGCCATAAACATGGCACCACAGAAACCAAGGCAAACGATAACAAATACAACCAAAAAACGGCTAATGTCACGATAAATAATTTTAGCCAACGTCTTTGTATACAGTCCAGTTGTCCTAAAGACAAAGGAATCTGTTGAATGATACTGTAATCGGGTATTTTTAAGGAAAATACAATACAGGACGGCATGTGGGTTGCGTCTGCTGTACTTGAGGGTGTTTTTCTTCAACATATAGCCGACCTATCTTTGCTTCGTTATTGTTCAGGAATTATTTTCAATGTACGAATAAAAATTGTATAATCTCTTGGTAGCGTTTAGAATGGCCTTTTTTGGCACAATTTGCAAACTCCTGTCAAAGATTAAATATATATACCTAATCTTTGCTCTTGTTCCACTCGTGCACGATTTGGTAAAATTCAAAGGTTAGGGCTCGACAACTGCCCTCTGTAGCTCAGTTGGCTAGAGCGCTGCACCAGGGCGCTTATATATATATATATAAGCGCCCTGCGCTGCACCGTAATCGCAGGGCCGCAGGTTAAATTCCTACCAAGGACATATAGTAAAGTTGCATTTTTCGCTTATATCTACAATACCCATCAAATAAAAAGAAATATTACCTGGTAACACAAGAAAACTTGAAAATTCTTAGAAAATTGAACAAATATCCCAGACTTGCAACGCTCCATTGGGCGCTCACGTCAGCAAATCGAAGAGGGATAACAAGCAACGTCAGAATAAGACCAAGCCAATCAAAATAATTGTAGGGATCCTTGAGGTAAACCTTGAATTCTCTAGAGTATAAATATATTTGTATATTGGCAAAGATCTAATTGAAAAAGAACGCACTGTGAGAGTACAGTCATAATTATACTCGATAATAACATTAAAGCTGTTTCCGATAAATCGTCGATTATAAATGCATCATGCGAAGAGCCAGTGAATTGTAGACTGGACTTATTAATTTGGCGTGCGTGACCTCGGTCTCTACCTTACCCTCCACAGTGCTAAATTTACACCGCGTGTGTGTCAGGTGATGTTCGTAATTTGATATTTTAAAAAATTTAATGCTTCAATTCGGTTAGTTAATATTTAAGAGAGCTATATATGAGACAGTAAAGCACACACAATGTTGTGGGAGAAGGGTTGTTGGGGAGAAATGCTCCGAATATATACTTTCAACTGGTCAAAGTGTCACCCCACGCACTCACAGTTACTCTAATTAATGCCCTCGGGGGGTCTGGGTCCCCATATTGGGCTGTCCTCGGGGGGTCTGGGTCCCCATGTTGGACTCTAGTGTAATTAATGCCCTCAGGGGGTTTTGGTCCCCATGTTGGGCAATCCTCAGGGGGTCTGGGTCCCCATG